TGAAAAATATTTGGGGGTGCTTAACTTTTTTCCAGGTGTATATATATACGAGTGTTGAATTTCTAATGCACGGGTGTATATAAATCAAATTTCCTTCTGCCATAGTAGTTTAGTTTTTAATAAACAAACAGTCAAAATTAGAAATTTCATTTTATACATTATAAAGCATTAATTATTTTATATTTTTGATTGCAAGTTATAGACTTTGAGGTTAGTGGACAGGAACATCCTTAAGTTAATCTACAAAATTATATATTAAGTCCTCAGTTATTTTGGGCTATGCCTGTGTATTTCTTATATCTTAACTCCTTAAACTCGAATGGAATCTTTCAGCATCTGGCCAAAAATCCCGATTTACCCATTGGATGGTGACAGCTTTCGCTAACATTTATGTCTCTTTGGTTGAAAACTAATACAAACCATGTTATTATCCACAAAATTGAAGTTTTTAAGGAATGTTGATAATTATTAGGAATTTATGGGTGTAAAAAGAGTTAAATTAGTAAAAGTTGACTGGATGGATTTTAGTAAGATAATGTCTTTAATCACATTAATACATTTTAAAGTATATGTAAAATATGCATAATGTTAGGACTTGAAATCTTAAATAAAATATTTATACATTATCAGAAATATGATTTCAAAGCTTCCAAGATGAATATCTTCTTTTTTGGAAACAATAGGTACAGAAAATATTTTTTGAAATGCATTTTCACTTACATTATTTCTGATTAGTGCTATTAAAGACAGTCCTTCTACAAAAGTTTGATGTTGTTTAATGAGTTGCTATTTCTTAAGAACTCCTAGGTAAAGTTCACTAAATAAATCAGAACCAAAATAACTAAACATTAATCCTTTTGCTGAGTAGTTCAGATATATCCGAATAAACATTTATACCCACTGACTGCAAAATTCGAATTAACCCCAAGGTTACCAAAAATGTTTCCTTCTACTGCAACATGTGGGAATATCAAAACAATCACTAAACCTGCATGCACGCTGCCAGGAAACCAGAATGTTCATATTCCTCATTACAAAATTGCCAACGATGCAGGAACACAAAGAATCTATATAAAGACAGTATCTTGTTATCTGTTAACAGGATATTGTTATCTAAATAATTTGTTTTATATTTTGTAATGAGTTTGGTCTCTTATTGACTTAATTTTTGCCTATATTTGTGTCATTTACTGGAGAACACTTCTAATTTTCCTCAACTTTTTGTTTAAATCATTATTTTTCACTATCCAATATGGTTTTCAAGGAATATTACTGTCAGGTATAGAAAATACAGCTTCTTTCAATATTGAAAAAGTAATACAAAGGGTCAAATTCATACTTTTATGTTTTGGTGGATAATTGACACTTTTTGGGAATCAGCGTGAAAATTAATTGCACAGTGAAAGAGTTAATTAATATAATCAAATATATCAAACAGACTAGAAATTTTGTAGCAGTTATTTCAAATGCATAGCTTAGATTTCAAATTGGGAAGCTGACCTGCTGTAGTTTCTAAGAGTGTAAAGGAGTGAGTAGAAACGTCAAATGTCATATTACATTTATTAACTTAAAAGCATAAAAACTTCTTTGGAACAGAGTGTTTAACAACAAATCTTAGAGTCAACCAGATGATGTAGGTATTCCACTTCTGGAAGGAATGCACTTAGTATTTCCTCAACTCTCTTGCAAATTTTACAGAAAATGCACCATTGAACTGAACAGAATTGAAGGAGATGCAATGATTTTCTTCTTTGGTAGACGAAATTATTTAATAAGATCTGCCTGAAGCCATGATGATATTATAATATCTACAGAGATTCTCATGAAGCTGGTAATCATCAGGAACTGCTAGGACAACCAAAAGATTTTCTCAAGATTGCACATACCTCATGCTTACTTGCAAGTTTAAGGTAACAAAATGTTTAATATGTAACCAGAGAAGATGTAGATACAATCACGATAGGATACTAATTTGCAGAGAAAAATTCCTGTTGGTGCTAATCAACATGGCTTAAGAGAAGCACATCTACCTACATACCAAGTATGTTCACAGAATCATTGGAAGACATGGATAACCATAACCGAAGTGACAAGTTTTTAACTTTGGGAGGATAGAAATCCACGACATCCATAGAAAAATTCAAAGCAAGAAATAAAAAAGAAAGACTCCCAAGATCAGGCCCTATAGATCTCTCTCTCTTTTATTCCAACTTTTCCAGATACCACATGGACCTTCTTTTGTTACCAAAAATTACACAGTTGACAGAGATTTGTTCAATTGTTCCAAGCAGTACTCTGCATACAATAATTTTTACTTACCACTAAACCACTAATTATTTTCCACTCAATTTAAAAAACTATAAATGTTGTAACAATGATTGGTGAAAAGGTTATATTTTTGGGTTAATAATCAACTATGACATAGTTTGTACATTTTTGTATTGTTAAAACTCCTATAAAATTGCAAGTAGGCCTACCAGTGAAATCTTTATTTTCTTCCTAATTCTTTATCTTTGTACAAAAATCTATAAATTGGAAGGTAAACCTGTATTTTTAACCAAACATTAAATATGTTTTATAAAACTTTTCTAACTGTTTTGTTTTCTGTACACTTTTATAATTGGAAGAGGTCTTGAAAGTAATGTGGCATTTATGTAGAAACCATACAAAAAAAAAATACAAACACTTTGCATTCCTGTCTTATGCTTATTGCATTTTATTAAACAGCAGTCTTTATGTGTAGTCTTTACACATAGTATTACACTTCAAAAATGTTACTCTTTTAAACCTGTATATCAGACCAAAAAGAAACTTTGAGTACATTGACTTGTTAGTAAAATGGCTTATTAAAAGTAACTTTAAATGGTCCCAATATCTTGTACTGAATGTAAACAATAGAATATTTTCAGTAAGTTCATTTTCATAAAACTTCATTTCTACTGCAGTTTTATAAGTTGATATTCAAAGTTTTTCAGCTTTATATAAGAAATTTAAATGGTAAAATTATAATATTTTTCTGCTGAGGTTTCTATTAGATGAGGTGCATATTTTAATTATATGTAACAAAAGTTATTGGTTTCGTTTTACATTATTGTATAATCAAATAAAACAAGTAATTTCTCAGAACATAATTTTGGTGTTATTCATATACATTCCAGCAAGCTCCTTCTATGGCACAAATTTTTTTCCCTACTACAGAAAAAAGCATTACTATTGAAATCAACTCTAATTAATTTTAAAAACATGTTAAATGATTATTTTAAGTATAACATATCCAATTATTAAACTTAAGAACCACATAACATTCCTCACAATATTTATCACATTCTTGGCTGTACTCTTATTTATCTTAATACAGAGCATTACACTAGCCAGTTTTCAATGTACCCGTAATTTTATGATTTTTTTCAAAACAAACATTTCTCACACAAAAACAATAACTTTCTGAATTCAAATAAAAATTGTTTACTTTGAAGCTTCTACCATTTATATAAAGTTTCTCTGAAATGAAATTAAATAATGTTAATAATTTTATGGATCAAATCATAGCAAAGACAAAATGATTTTGGTTTTCACTCAGAATACTTCTACCAAAAGATTCTGATATAATTTCTTACTAGTTATGCTGTGGAAAAAGATTACAAATCTTAATTTGTAACAATTCATATGATCATCTACTTTTTGAAAATATTTACTAAATGAAACTTGCTTTTTGAATAATATTAACTTTTGACATATTTCCAGTGATTTATTGCCCTATATAAAGACCTGACGATTCAAAGATTTTTAGAACGTTATTTTTGGAAAACCAATGTACTAACAAGCAGTACTACTTTATGCAATGGAATGTATATCAACCACTGATATAGTCAGAATAAATTTCATCAGATGATAAAATAAGAATCATGTAACCATTATTGCTTGAAGCGATGACCTCAGGTGATCAAATATCAAGACTTCCAGCACATTTTACTTACAGTAATAATGTTTTCCTTAAAATTCTGGGACAATGTTGCCAACTATTTTAATCATTACAAATATTATGAAAACATCCACAATGTGCTTTTGGTGAGGCCCAGCTAAGTTAATTTCATCAATTAAAGATAGGCCTAAGTGTTGCAAAATAAATCCATTTAGTAAGAGTGTAGAAAGCATTTTTATCTACTTTTTCATTGTTTAATTTTATTTAAGTTAACTTCAATTAAATTTTGGCATTCAAATATTAAACCTTATCAAGAAATATTTCAAATCAATGTTAATATAATATCAAAGTTTCAGAATATAGTTATTGTTCTTGCCATAAAATGTAACTTAAACAAGCACACACATGTAATATCTGTGAATTCTTGGGATTCAATTACAACACTTGGACAATGGTTTCATTAACAAAGTAGACTAAGGATTTAATTGAAAACAACTCATGTAACTATCTCCATGTAAGAGATAAAAAAATTAAATGTTAAAAAAATTGAATAATCCTAAAATTAATTGCAGGTATTTTTAGCAAAAGCATGAATCTATTTTCACAAACAATATCTTAGTTTTCTGATAATGTGATATAATCACAAACAAAAATAAACTTTTGTTTCCTGTTCTATTTTTAAAATGATAAATTAGAAAAGCCTAAGCATAATTGATAAACATATTTTGGAGGAACAAAACTTTAAACCTTTGTATTTCTGTATGGTCGATAAAATTTGTAATGCAGCTGTAATTAACATACAGCAGCCAGTAAAACCCATTTCCATGAAATACAAGTTTGTTCAAAAACAAATTTAAAAATGGACTTCTCTGTTTGGTTCCATCTCACAATTTTAGCCTCATGCTGAAGTCTTTCATTGAAGAAATAGGTGTATTTCATGATAAACTGTTTAAACTTTCAATACACAATAATTCAATTGACACTGAAAAACAACAAATACTAACAACTCAAAACTGCTCTTTAAACCCTAATTAATAGCATTTTTTTCTTTTAAAAAATAGAGGAACTTTAAAAGAGTATTTATCTGTATCCTGCCAGTTAAAAGTCAACTTATACATGCATAGGAAGTTTCATGTCAATCAATATCATGAAGACCAATATGAGTAAAACTAGTCTGTTCTTTCATCAGTAATGATAAAAACTTTTAAGACATTCTCATCAAATCAGTTGTTTCATAAAAAAATTAAAGATTTATATAACTGAAGACAAAAAAAAACATGAAATTCAATAATCATAACAAACAACAAGTCATCACAAACACATTTATGTACTAACTTCTACTACAAACTATACACATGTGTATAGCTTATTACACTGTAACTAATGATGTTATTGAACAAATGCACATTGTACTTTTGTTTAAGAAAATGCTGCTTTATTTAGAGAAATGTATTATGAATATTAATGAAAATATTTCAAACCATAGCTACAGAATACATACTAGCTGATGTATTCTGGATTTACTTGACAGTTCTCTCTAACATTAGAACTATCTGAGTTCGTACACTGAAGATTGAAGACTTAAAACTGAAACCACGGGAATGGTAATTGAAAATTAAGATATTACTCTCATGTACATGGTGTACACTGAAGATTGAAGACTTAAAACTGAAACCACGGGAATGGTAATTGAAAATTAAGATATTACTCTCATGTACATGGTGTGAGGCACTAAAATGCTAACAACACTACAATGGGTGTCCTGAAATGAAACAATATTGCCAACACCACTAAATAAATATTGCACAAATGTGGTGTGCATTTGTTATTTTATACTCACCAGTACTGAAATGGCTATATTCTGGCATCTATTCTCAATTCCTATAAATAACACCATTTTACAATAGATTTCAGACTTGAAAGGTGTTCTTAATAAACTACATCTGTCTAGGAAATTTGGAAAATGTTTTGAGCAACTAGTTTGTATCTTCATCAGGAAAAATTGTTCAAGAATTTACAATAACCTTTATTAGAACTCTCCTCTATAGCCATGCTCTTGCACTCTCAATCCCACTTTGTTTTACTTTTTGTTTTCAACTCATAAAGGTCTCAACTATATTTATACCTGATATAAATTCTGAACAATTTGACGTGATGATGATGATGATCTGTGCTAGCAGCTCAAAACATCATCCAAATTTCCTAGACAGATGCAGTTCATTAACAACATCTCCAAAATATACTGTCCTCTGTCTAAACCTTTTCTCAGACAAGAATAGCTGTTATATCAGAATCAATCAAGATCTAATAATATAAGAAAATGGGTGAAGTTTTAAGGAAAAGCTTCTTTTCAAATTATATAAATAGCAATCTTTTTACAGCTTCTTAAAACATAACTCACTATCAAGATGGCCATATTCTGTAAAAGAATAAAGTCTGATACTCAGCTAACTGTATTCTTAGTCAGTGTTTAAGGAAAGAATTAAAGCTTCTTTTTTTAAATTTAACATTCATTTGGATATAACTATCATATCTACACCATATTCCGTAACTATTAACAGTGTGTCAGTTCTAACTTCTAGTGTAAAGACTTAAGACAAACAAGTAATTAAACATGAAATAATAAGTTTGCTGCCTTAATTAAAACACAAGTAAATCTCCTCTTCCATGATGTCCCAATTTCCCTAATCTTATCTCTGACTAACATTGTAGAATTTAAGTGTTGCACATGCACAACCTTGGATCTCACAGAACAGCCATATTACAATGATCTAAATTTTTTGATGCTTTATCAATACAAAAATTAAACTATTTTTTATTACTTAATTATGATACATAATAGTTCAAGTTTGGTTCAAATTATAATTAATAAATATGGAGACTGGTAGTCTCAAACATGCATGAATTAGATCCTACTTATACTGACTTTCAGGCTGTACTATTCCTATATTTTTATCACCTCTAATGTAACATGGTTTTGAGCTGTGGATTAATTCCTTGCATTCAGAACTTCAGTACGTCTTCAGTTTCAAAACGAAAACTACATCGGAAAGCAACGGGTAATGATTGATTTACGTTGGAAATTTTGTTGTTGTTTCTAGCTTAACAAACCTTTAAGTCTATCAGTTATACTTACATCATAACCAATAGTGATGTTCTGAGACAGCAAGACAAATACTCCATTTCAGAAACTTAAATAACTTAAAAACAAAACACGTGCAATACCCTTTGACCCCAGTACATAATATAATTAAAATATGAAAAGGACTGCTGAAAATAATTCAAAATATTCTAACTTGTCTTTATGATGAGAAAAACTGAAAAGTTATAAATTCTTTTGAAACTAAAGTTCAACAGGAGTTTTATGCTAGTTAACACTGCTAAAATTCAAAAAGAAAAACAAACAGGAGTATGATTAATATATTTTTCAGTTCAAAGTATAGTAGAATATATCTGTTAACTCATTAGCAGAAAGACTTAATAGAGGAAGATGTCACTATACTACATTCACTTTGTGTCACTAACTTGGTATAACCATGTGGTCACCTGTATAGACGACAAGGAAACTGTAATGTGTATTTATTGCAAGGCTGCTATTTCAATATGCATGTATCAGTATTTTTCACTGGAAGTAATACCACAAAAATGATATACCTAAGAAAATGTTTATCATAACATGAAAGAATAAATTCCTAGATTATTTAAATGACCGAGTCCTTGACTGTGTACATTTCCTGTTCATGCAATTCATATTACATAAAAAACCCTGAAACTGCAGTAACAAAGAATATCATTACATTTGAACAAAATTAACCTTTTCAAATTTTTTACTGTGGTGTCTCTTGCTTCTTTGTCATGTTCATCATAATGTTTCCTTTTCCTGCTGTCTGAAAACAGTTTGAACATATGCTATATGACAGATGTTTTGTGTGCCAATTTGTACTAAAACTAATACAAATTTTTTGACTTAATTCAGAATGTTTAAACTTGATGAAAAAATAATTTTAATGCAAACTTTTCTGTGTGTGTGGTGGGGCAATGTGGTGAACTGGAAGCAAGCATAGTGGTGATATTAAAGGCAGTGGGTTTCACATAAACAACATAAGCAGTATTAGAAATTAAAAGTTTTTCTTAGCTGGGTTCTTAAACGTTTTGTCCTCAAAATGCACTTGACACATTATGTAATTTTTATTCAATTCTTTAGTTGTTTTACTCCAAATATTTTCAAGTCTAGAAAACTGGATTAATTTTTACGTCTGAAACAAGAATTAGGTATTTAATAAAATTTCTAGTGTTAGGACTAGATCAGGCCTAGTTAATATGCAAAAGTCTGAGAAAGAATACACATTAGTACACAGTGTATAATTTCAGTCTAACAATTAGACATTTCTGGATTTTTGAGAAATCAAAAAGAGAATCCTTGCTTCTTTAGATAAGAATCTTGATAATATGGAGCTTCACACCAATTTTTTCCCCCATAGGATTTTGAGTGGTTCTCAGTAATAGTGAAAAATGCCAATTATAAGAGGACAGAATAAGCAGCACAATTTCACTAATGTAAAACAGTGGAACCTTCCCTATTAAGACTCCCTGATTCAATTGAAATTAACCTTTTTGACTTCAACATGCAGCATTCAGACATTAACTGCAACATCTAATGTAGCTTCATTTTTGTTTTCATTAACCAAACCTGAAAATAAAGTTTTATGCCAAATGCTTTAAGATTTTTTTAAATATTGTATACAGTGTTAAAAATATTTACATTAACTAGTGAAAAAAAAATCAGTGAATTTACTTGGAAGGCATCCAAGATGTTTATCTCATTTTAATTAAAATTTTTTTGAAAAAAAACCTAGAGTGGTTTTCAAGTAAGTTTATTTTTCTTATCTTTTCTCAAATATATTCAATAGTACATATTGTATTAAGTACTGTTTCTGTGAAAGCAACCTTGTATAAAATTTCATTTTCAAATATAATGCAAATATTAATTAACAGTTTCATGTCAAACTATCTGGAATTTTTGACAGATACTGAAAAAATCCATTGATTTTAGCAAGGCTTTTGTGTCTCCTTCTACTCAGAGATTTTTGAATTACCACAGTACTTTAGAACTTTCACAGAACTAGTTAGTAAGCAATCTATTAACACAACTAACTGTAATTATAGCATTGGCACTATAGAAACATACATGTTAACAAGTTATATATATATATATATATATCACATTCATACCTCAAAAATTACCCCCTCTTCAAAATCAATTTAACCCAAAGTAGTCATTGGAATAAAACTACATACTTTCACATAAGCTTTGTATATTAAGCACTTATAGTTGGAAAAATTTCATTGAATTTTTTTTTTTCTATGATGACAATGACTAGATTAACAGACAAATGTCATTCAAATGTAGATTCTTCATATTAAGCTAATAATTGGTTACAGCTTCAGTTCTTCTTTCTGCTTTAGTACTTTTATACGACACTGTGCTCTTAATCGGCTAATTAGGCTTCTTGGAAATGACCCAGGTTCTTTGAATATTGCCTAGAAATTTAGAAAAAGCAACAAGAAACATGGAAACTTATATAAAATAACAATTACAAGAGTTATCTAAATACTTTTATAGTGTTTTTTATATTTTTCTTAGTAAATTATATTTCTGAAAATATGTGTGCTATATTCAATTTTGGCCTTATATTCCTTATTTTGTATTGTATATCACTGATTAAAAACCTCTACAGTCATCAGGTATTTATGATCAAAGATATTTATGTGACTGCATGTTAAAAAACCCAAAAAAATCAAAAAGTTGTTCAATATATTGAAAAATAATATTCAATTTTACAGAGAACTTGAAAAATTCTATAGTATAGTAACATTTACATGCTGCAGCTAATGTTTTCAGAAAAAATAAAATTATTAATTTTCAGTTCACTGATGAAGATCAAAATAAAACTGACATTTTCCTTATCAGTCAGTTTAAAATATCTACAAGAAAGGAAACAAACCTTTTACGATGAAAATAACCTTTAAAATTGCTATGTAGTTCTTTTAATGAATTAGAAGTCTTAAGTAGCAGGTCGGGATGTCACTTTCCAATAGCATCCTGTTAACATGACATATACTTTTATGAAAAATGAGATCTACCTTTTACTTTAAATATGATAGATAATTAGAATTTCCGAGATTCTATAAATTTAACCAACCTGCATTAATGAATGACAGTCTGTCACAAGTGGGTCCCCAGTTATTGATTTCAAAACTGATATGATATCTGGAAAGTTTTGGGCTGCCAAGATCTTTTCTTCATTTTTTTTTATTAAAGTTACACCCACTCGGAAAAGAATCTTAGAACCTTCATAGTATAGACAGTCCCAAATTCTTAGAATAGTCTGCAATTACAATTCAAATAAGAAATTATAAAGAAACAACAATACAAACAAGTGTATGTTTTTGTAGTTATCAGAAACAGTCGAACTAACATTGACATGAAAAACAGCAAATAAACTACATTTTCAAAAAAAACTTGCTATTTATACCTTTATACATGTACTTTTAGATTTAGAAAACTAAATTTTAAGAATTATTTTCAAGTATGTTAAATTAAGAAATGAAAAAATTTGTAATGCTGGAGTCATATACCTCTTCTAATGTTACAATAAAAATGTATTAATCTCAGATTATCCATAAAATAACATTATACATTTAAACAGTTACTATTTCAAATACAGTGTTCTCCTGATTTTAAAAGAAAACTTACTTCCACGGGCAGTACTTCAGCAAATAAACAGATGAACCATTTACTGGCCACTAAAGCCCACGTAACATCATGGGAAACCAAGTGCTCATGAACTTTGGGTACTTTCAATCTACAATTACAACGTATAATAAGTCAAACTTTAAATAATTGTATATAATAATACATCAGCACACAGGTTTATTGTAGTATTTGAATCACAGGTATAATAGGTGTGTATACCTTTTTCTGCATTTGTGTGAAATTATTCACAATCAAATGAAAATCATGCCTGAGAAAATAATGTATAATTAAAAACCCTACAGTAATTTATTACTACAAGCTATATGTCCTTTAAAGTTCCTAACCAATAATAGGCTCTTTGGAAAGTCTGTGGTAAACAATAACCACCCAAAGCCAAGGCAAATGAATGATGACCTACTTTCCAACATCACTACAGCTGAGTGTCAGACAAAAGTTGTAAGAACTGTTGTTAACAATAAATAACATTATAAGTCATTATCTTGTACCAAAATGAAGTGTTCCATAATAATAATATTACATTAATGCAACAGCAGCAAAAAAAGATTTTATTAAGCCACAAAATGTTACAACTGTTACCAATTTTTATGGCAGTGTAAATTCTTCACAGCCTATGTAATACCAATTTCAATTTAGGCATAATACCCACAATCACTCCACATAAAATATACATATATGTATACTTTGCTACTATTTTGATAATGAAAAATATAATAAACATCTTTATGTGTAAATGGGTCAATATTCTCCTTTTTTTTCAACTAAAGAAAATTAAATATTAAAAAGTTGAGGACAAACAATAAAAATACTAACATGACTATCTAGCTGAACTTCACTAGATGTTTTAGTTTATTAGCGACATTAGATATTGGCATGCATTAAGTGAATGGGATGTGATCCCAACCCCAGTATGTTCAAATTAAAGCCAAAAACAAGACTTATGCTACAGGTGAAAAACATAGTTCCAATCCTTTAAATGAAACCAAGATTAAACAATCAGCAAACAACTACTGAACTTTCACTCACAATTTATGTAATTGAACTTCATTTAAACTTTCACACTCAACTGTGTTATTTTACAATTAATTTACCTGACAAGTTCTCCAAGAACTTCAACATCAGTTAACAACCCCATCATGTCTTTAGTATAATAATCTGGTAGAATCTTTTCAACAAGAATTCTTAAAAGCCAGAAAGTAGTCTCTTCATCCTCAGTGATAAGAAGTAAGATTCCCGCTATAAAATTCAACCCCTATTGAGAAGGAAAAAACAAATGCAGTAGGCTGTCTTTCTGGTTAAAAGATTAATTCAACAAAACATATCACTTTTGGAGAAAGAAAAATAACACTGACTACTACCATTACCTAATATCAAAGTTAACCCCTAATACATAAAAAAAAAAGAAAACTATTTAATATTTACAGAATATTGCATAAAATGTATTATGCCATTTGAAGTGAGAAAAAATCACCCACCAGAAGAATACTTTCTTTAGTGTTAAAAAACAAATGGATTTATTATTCACTAGAAAGTTTTCTACAAGCCTCACATTCAACAACCAGCAGCTTGTGGATTATACTGATTTGCTCTTTATTCTTTGAGACCAGGGTGCATTGATTTGACACACTTGTGGTATGGTTTGTTAAAATGCATTGTGAAAAAACCTACCTGATGAAATCATTTAAAATTTCAAAATTACTTTCTAAAGATTATGTAGCATCAGCAAATAAAATATATTATTTTTATATGTTATATTTGTAGGATTTTTCAGCTTTGAAATTTCAAAATGATTTCACTGTAACACATTTTTTTAAGACACAATTAAAAATGCTTACCTGATTGTTGTCTTTAAACATTCTTTTAAAACTTTCATATAAAGTTTCTAACTATGTTTTGATTCAACGAAATGAGGCATGCAGTTACACTGTGATAACAATAACTGTCATACAATAAAAATAAATTTACCATTTTGCTGCATACATACACACCCACACATATACACTGAGTGGTCACAAGTAAATAGACACCTAATTTTCAGAAAAAATGAAATTTTTCAGTCATATTC